AGTTTGTGTATGAATTACCGTCGGAAATGGGTAACATAACATCGTCACACTTGACCATTTTCACACTCATGGTGATTTTGCAGTTTAGGCTTCAAGTCCCGACACGCCACAATCTCGAACTCGCGGTCACGAAAAAAATGGTACTGATACTATCTTCACCGGCACTTTACTTCGCAAAACCACGGACCTCTGCTACCATGTTGAGATAATACATTGAACAACAGATTTAGTACTTAATTCTTCTTTATTTCGTAAACTAAACCGGGACAGATTTCAGGACACGAACGTCCAACGCCATTACAATTCTGACTACAACAAGTGCTGCGCTCTCTAGCGTACATCGACATACTCAACAATGGTATCATACAAAATTGAAGGAAAATCATACGTTTTCACCCATCCCAAGTGACAGATGTTTATGAGTTTTATGCGCACATTTACGTAGTCTTAATTGAGTCAGAAATTCACGTGTATGCCACGATATTGATGTGAATAACGCGCAAATATAATAATCTTAGAAATTTGCTAGGAAGACGACGTATTTGCCGGGATATCGTGGTGATTATCGTGTAATTTCTGATTTCTTTTACAAAATCCCTGAAAAAATCACGTTTTCTCCGCGATGTAGATGACAAACCCGCCGTTGCTGAGAATTAAACGAAACCGCTGGTCAAATCCTGTAATTTTCGCGACTGAAACTCACCAGCTAACTTCAATTAAACACTGAACTGACAAAAGTGACAAATCTTTATGAAAATAACCAACTTTTGATTGGGTAGGTATTTTTGATTATCATAATTATCATATGAGCTTACTGCAGGACAGACCAAAATAGCAGGTTTAATCAGAATAGGTACTACTAATCTCTGCATTTTTATCAAACCAGTGCGTCTCGCCAATTTTGAAATAGTAAATAATAATTCAGAAACACAATTAGTAACTGATCAATAATCACAGTGATTGCTGATGGTGGAGGTTTCCTGCTAGTATTTAATAAACGCAGACAAATATGTGAAATCAACATTCACCCAAGTAGCAGAGGTTGTAACAACTTGCAACAAAATCGTTGAATTCTTGCAACTAATAGATTGACGTGCATATTGCCTACTCTTTCCCCCGAAGGAGCTATCATTGTTGGAACTTGTTACAATTAAGTTGAAACATGTTCCAACTTTAATATCGTTCCTGGTCCTTACATTTGGCTAAAATTTGAAAATCGCGGCCTTCTTCGCAAACTGGTAAGGACGTCACAAGACTGGTCTTTACTTAATATAATAAATTATTAATAATATTATTCATTTTTCATTAATTTGTATTATTTACTTATCTTTTTTCGTTTTTAATATTTTCATTTTTAATAACTATTTATCCGTCCATACTTTATTTTATTTTTTTCATGTGTTCTTCGAACTTTTCATTTTCTTATTCTTCATTATGAAACTGAATGATGTACAAAATTGCAAGAATATCATTGCTTCTGATCATTGAATCAGATCTGGGGACGTTTATTAGTGCTAAATTAGCCTCCTTCCCCACGCGAGCATCCGTGGCGGAGTGACAGCGACACTCGGGCGATCAACGAAGTTCAGCAGCGTCGGGCGTAGTTAGTACTTCGATGGGTGACCGCTTGGGAACTCGGGCGCAGCGCGGCTTAATTCTGGCGTACATTGATTGTCGGGTTCTCTCAGCGGCACTTTTTCGGAGTCCGCGATGAAAAGTATGTCTAGGAACGTGCAGCGCGCCTAAATTTAAGCATTTCGCATTTTGAAACCTTTTTTTTTTGTGTGATATCATATTGGTAACATGTTGATATCATATACGAGTATAATAACAGGTTCTATTCACCCTGTTGCTACCATGTTTGGCCAGACCAACTTGTTACCAACATGGTCATTTTTAATACAGGGATGATTTTGGCAACGTCGATAAGTTGCAAGATTCATGCAATTCAATTGCTATAAGTTGCGACTTTTCTTCCGATCAGATCGTCGAAAATCGGCACTTATTGACCAAATGTTGACTGAGAGTTGCAACTAAGTTGCAACTTAGTTGCGACTTTTAACCAGTATTGCCTCAACTTCTTGCAACTTTAACTTTGAAAAATGCTACTTGGGCAGGTGGAACAACGAGTGATAAGAATATTATGTAAACAGCACTAAGACGGACATTATCAGCATACAAATTGCAGTCAAGAAAGATACTAGCCGTTCTGGACGCGCTTTGCGCGTCCGTCACGGCCTGCCAAGGGGCTGCGCCCCCTGGGCCCCCGATCACTCGCTACGCGAGTGACATTCGGCTCGCTCCTCGAGCCATTTTCCTCAGTGATTGGACATTTGATCACTAAGATGTATACATTTTGGAAACTCAGGAGGCAAAAATGATTTCGTCACAGAGCCTTGATGCCGGAGCGTGCCATTATTTGCACATGAATAGATGTGTGGAGATGAAGCGATGATGGGGATCGATCATTTATTCAAAAACGCATTTGACTGGGACGCCATCCCATCGGGTGGCGGAAAAAGACAATCCATGGATTTCCTCCCGCGATTTGACTTGCTGAAGTAGCAAAAGTTCATATTTACCTCTTAGGAAGATCATCGGTGGCGTAGGGGTCTAAAAACTGCTCAACGATAGTATAGTTCGAGTTCCAAGTCGTAATGAGCCCGCTCGTGTTTTTTTCTTATACTTTCATCGCATATAAATCTCTCTGATGTTTTTGTTTTATTCTCTCTGATTGCATATTAGTAATTATATCCTCATTTCATTTCCTTTCCCTTTCCCTTTCCTTTTTCCCTTTCTGTAGCATCTGTGTCCATTTACAATTTTTATTTTAAAATAGCTTTCCCCTAGTATACAATTGATGCTTCAAACGGAATCAATAGTTCTAATGACATTTCCGGCTAAATCATGGGGTTTCCCAGGGAGGCAGGTTCTCGTCCCTCCCGGACTCTATTGTTGCCAGATAAATTGCTTTTTTAGCACTTTTCCCAATTCAAATCCATGCAAAATATTCACATTTATCGCACAATCTGGCAACCTCTCGAGTGAAATAGAAAAAGGTGGAATCGCTGAAAGTCTGAATCCTTCGAAGTTTATATTAATGATATAGGTAGGCAAAACGTGCTACAGAGTAGTGCACGGTGGATTTGAGAAATCCACGCATAGGTTAGTTAGGCTGGACACACTTTTCTGTAAGTCAATTTGTGCATTATAGCACACCTCAATTGAGGACACCGCACCAAGAACAGCCTATAACGGGAAACTGCGTTTTGAAAAAAACGCTTTTAAAATTTTGTTTTTGATGTGCTGCGCAGACTTTTTTATGCAGATACCCTGTTTTGGTGTTTTTGGGTGACCTAACCCTTCTATTGAAGGATGCCGGGTGGATTTTGCGATACATTTTGGGTTTACACTCTAGTATATTTAATTTTAAAAAGCTGTATATAGGTAGGCCATTATTACGCCCAACAGTCATTTTGGTGGCAATATGAAGTATAGTCATTTTAATCACGCATGATTAACGCAAAATGAAAGAATATCGATAGTGAGTAAAGAAAGGGGTAACTAGCGCCTTATAGGCCCGTTTATAGGTCGTTCTTGCACCCATCGATCCAGAGGCCTGACTTAACTCGGAAAAAAAAGGTTTTTCGACCTCGAGCCGTTACCTATCTATATTCTATCGCTACCACAGCATAGTCCAGGGTACGTAGAATCCGAAAAGCAGATGGGCGTAATAACGACCTGTACGCCTATAGGCTGTTCTTGGTGCGGTGTCCTCAATTCACATTTACTAAAGGAATGTTTTTTAACATAGCACGCCTTAATTCACATTTAATAAAGGAATGTTTTTTAACATAGCACACCTTAATTCAATAGATTCTAGTGCCATGAGGGTTTTCTCATTGTCATTTGTATGCAAAATTTTTAAATTATTTTGAATATCAGACAAGGTATGGTTGGTCTCTTTCAGATGTTGGTAAATGTTCGAATGAGGGTTTATTATATGTTCCTTAAAACCTTTATGGAAGCTCCTAGATGTTTTGCCAATATATTGGAAATCACAGTGAAATGGCACATACTCCTGATTTATTATATAAATTACTATCTGAAACTACATTATTGAAAAATAATTTTGTGGAAAGGTTGTTATTGGTTTTAAAACCCGTTCCATAATAATTATAAAGTATCTAAGTAAGTATCATAATTATTATGCTTTGTGAAAGCTTTGCCCATCCTATCACTAAATCTGCTAAAGTAGGTGAGACCAACATATCGACGGTGAAACTACCAAACCACGTATCTCGTTTGCGGTGTTTAAAAATCTACGCTCACATATTATTTTTTTGAAGTAGACCAAATCAATATCATTCCTTGAAATTTTCAAAGAGGAAAAATCACAGAAATTTTCAAGACTGGATGTTAAGTAGTTTTTCATTTAAAAAATAAAGTATGAAAGGAAGTCTGCGACGTCGCAAACCGAGATACGTGGTTTGGTATTTTCACCGTCGATATCTCCCTTCATTATTGGTTTTTTTAGGTTTATTACTTACATCCCACTTATTAATAGTATAACACTAAGTAGCGTGCCGTCAGAAGTCACACAACTTATTAACATAAAGGTTAGAATCAATCTCTGCATTTAAAAAAAAAAAAATTGAGGCAACAACCTGTCCCCCCTCTAAAAAAGAAAATTGGATTGAACTTTATTAAGAATCGTCCAAGGTAATGCTGAAGTCAAAATACTTTCAACAACAAAAAAATCTATCTAAGGGGGATAAATTTTCATATTTTGCAACTATCATTTAATTTTTTTTTTTTTTTTCTCATACCAATGACCTCTCTTAAGGGTGATTTGATGAAAATAGTTTCCTTCAAACAGGATTCAGAATTCAATATTGAGATACTGAAATGATCTTGAAAATGACTACTGATGATGATACTTAGTATCATATGGTTTGGTATCTTTTTAGCATCATTGTAAAATTGCAAAATTTCCTTACCTGCTTCTCTTCACAGTCCTTAATTAGATCTTCTAAGTTCCTGTTTATTCTTGCGTTAGTTTCATTCGATTGTTCCAGGCGTTGTCGAATTCTACCTACTTCTTCATTCAAGGCTTCTTTTTTTCTTTGAAGCAATGATAGCTGATTGCTGAGATCACTTCTCTCCCTGATCACTCCATTGAGTTCAAGTTCAACCTGGATGAAAAAGAAGGTATTTATTGTGTAGTTTCATCAAATGAGCGCGGGCATAATCAGTTATATCATTGACAGAAAATTGAAACCGACAAAACGTAAGTCGGATGAGCAATACAGGGTTTCCTAGAGCACCCGTACCAGGCCTTCTTCTCAGTTGATTTATGTCGAACGAAGTCGGGAAGCGCGGGGTTGAACAGGGAATTGACCCCAAGGAATCTGAATTTCGTGGTCTCGAAACATCCCCTCCAGCCTCCCTTGGGAAGTAAAGGGGGGGAGGGGGTCACGATTCTAAAAGTCGGGTTTTTCGATCGAATTTCGATTCAATTTCATGAGAATTGAAATTTCCGAAAAATTTCACGTGAAATTGACCTCTACGAATCCAAAATTAGACCACTTTACGCCCAAAAATGATCCCTTAAAGAGGGGGACAGCGGCCCCCTCCATAATTTCCCTTTGTTCAAAAATTGACGCAGATTAACTGGTCGATTACCTGAGAGACCATCTTTTTCCAGAGAATCTGAGTCAATTTTGGAGCAAAGGGAAATTATGGAGGGGGCCGCTGTCCTCCTCTTTAAGGGATCATTTTTGGGCGTAAATTGGTCCGATTTTGGAAAATTTTGGTCGGATTCTCCGGAAAAAGATGGTTTCCTAGGTAATCAAGCCCAAGAAATCCGCTTTTAATGGTCCCGAAGTCCCCCTAGCCTCCTTAAGGGGGGGGGGGGAGAGTAAATGGAGAAGGCAAAATTTCAAAAGTCGGGGAATATTGTGCCCCTCATTTTACCCCCCTCCTCCCCCCTCAAGGAGGCTAGGGGGACTTCGTGACCATAAAAATCGGATTCCTTGGGGTCGATTACCTGGGAACCCATCAGTTTCCGGATAATCTGCGTCAATCTTTGAAAAAACGGAAATTATGGAGGGGGCCACTGTCCCCCTCTTTAAGGGATCATTTTTGGGCGTAAAGTGGTCCAATTTTGGATTGGAAGGGGTCGATTTCACGTGAAAATTTTTCGGGAATTTCAATTCTCATGAAAGTGAATCGAAATTCGATCGAAAAACCCGACTTTTAGGATCCTGACCCCCCCCCCTTTACTTCCCAAGGGAGGCTGGGGGAAGGAGGTTTCGAGACCACGAAATTCAGATTCCTTGGGGTCAATTCCCTGTTCAACCCCGTGCTTCCCGACTTCGTTCGACATAAATCAACTGAGAAAAAGGCCTGGTAAGGGTGCTCTGGGACACACTGTGCTCTAGTATAAGGATTACGTTTTATCCTAGAGCATTGCTCATACAAGAATTTCATAGAATGTTCTAATTGAATTAGAAACATTGAAAATTAGTCTCGATTATTGAATGCAGAATCGTTTCTCAAAAGTCATACTTACATGCGAGATCACATATTTCATATTTGTGATTCAATCATTATTTTAAGCAATAAAAACTCGAAAAGGAAATTTTGTCAACGTTATCCTCACGATGTGAATAGAGTCATGCTACAGTGACAGTGATCAGAAAAACTAAATCGCTCAAGAATGGCAAAAGAGTTTATTTTTTATTTTTTTCCAGTGCACTTAAATGAATTCTTCCGAAAAAGACTTTGACATACCCTGATGAAGTTGCAGAGGTACACCTTATCATAGGAAAACAAATAGCTTCACTATGAGAAGAGCCATGGCAATCTTTTTAATAGAACAGTTGTTTCAATGACCTTGAACAATCTTGGTTAACCATGTCATTATTGTGTGTTATGAATCTCAGTTAACCATTCTCAGAGGCGGACTGATCTTTATAATCTTTGCTCGACTCAGGTTGGTTAACCCAGCAAAATAAATCTGAGAAGTGAAGTTGCTTATACTGTCAGTACATTTTACAAAAGATATCTATGGAAGCGTTGATTGCAATTAGAAAAGTTTTTATTTCGTGCATCTCGCGAATATTTGGCGGAAAATCTGAAAAGATTACAGAGAGTATCGCCGTCGGTCTAGCTTTTCAAGGTCATTCGTAGGCCTGTTGTGGATTCTTCCTTGTGATGCTTCTTATAGCGCAGCTAGTAATTACTCACTCCCTATAATTTTTTCCTATTACGGACTGCTGGGACATAAATAACAATAGTCTGTTTTAAAGAGAACCAAATTCTGAAGAGAGGAAGAGCACTTTGCAATAATATAAACAGATTTAGATGCATGTAAGTTCCGTATTTAAAAAAAATGAAATTAAACCATGTTCAAATAAAAAAAAATACACCCCTGGTAAAATATTTGTATTTAAAATCGATTTTTGTTTTTAGTATTGTTTTAAGGTTGATTTTCCTTAATGAACAAATGAAAACGGCTCCTGATGAATGTTGTGGAATCAGTGATTTAAAATGGCAAAAAGAATAACAGTTGTTTGAGCATTATCATCCACTTGTTGTTTGAGTTTATCTGTTCTACTCCTTTCAAACTTACGAAGATAATTAATTCAAACAGAGTTCTGAATTAATCCGAGTTCAGCATTATTTCAACTTACTTTGTCTTTTTCTATTTCCAAAAACTTGCATTTTTCGTGGAGAGATGTTTTTTCGGACTCCAAGTCTAATTTTGTTTGCTCTGCAGACAGAAGTTCTTTACGCAAGGAGCTAAGATCATTGTTGGAATCAGACAATTGAGACTGTAATGCTCCATTATCTTCCTCTAACTGGGAAACACGAGTTAAAAAATAATGCAGGATTACAAGAAGTTACAAAATACATTTTTCAATCAAATAAGTGTGCTGATGAAAAGGAGACGGGATGTAAAAGAGGATTTGGACAGTTAAAACTGTCTATGTCTTTTTTTTAATTACTTGGGGCAAATTGCGTAGAAGCAATTGCAATTTAAATGAAACTTTAAACCTGATGTAGTTTAATTAATCTGCACAGCTGTGGCTTTGCAAAAAGGTCTGGGGAAATACCAAACATTGTGTGTTTAAAAAATCAGATTTTCAACAGAAGATGAATACCTAGACAATAATAAATTGGATTACATTTTGCAATAAAGAATCACTATTTCTGGCCCATTTTAGAAACAACATACATGCCATTGGTTTTCCTATGCACATATGTGCTTTTACGGAGGAGCCAGAGATAAAGGTTCCTTATTGCAAAATATAATCCAATGGGCCTGTTGCAAACTTTTGCTAGAGCAAAAATAAGAGTTGTTTCTTGTAGATAATGCCTCAAAAATCACGATGAGCGCATCGGCAAAGTCCGAAATGCACTCATAACTTCACAATCTGCATAAGAAATTTGCGTTTTTTTAAGCTTCCCGCTTCAAAAACGATACTACGGCACAGGTGAACATTTTGTTAGAGGAGTCGCTCCATCGTCGGCGATATTCATCATGGCCGACGCTTGCACGCAGTTCCGCGCGCAATTCAAGGAGAGTTCAAGGTCAATCAATTCGGGCGTGGAAAATATGAACGTTAACACACCGATTGTTATCTGGTCTAATCCAGTTCAGGTGTTATCTCGTCCCATCAAACGTGTTTTGGCGGATTGGCGTCGGCCATGATGATTATTGCCGACGATGGAACGACTCCTCTTACAAAATGTTCACCTGTGCCGTAGTATCGTTTTTGAAGCGGGAAGCTCAAAAAACCGCAAATTTCTTACGCAGATTGTGAAGTTATGAGTGCATTTCAGAGTTTGCCGATGCGCTCATCGTGATTTTTGAGGCATTATCTATAAGAAACAACTCTTAGTTTTGCTCTAGCAAAAGTTTGCAACAGGCCCATTGTGTGCCATTTCTATCTTTAGCAGATCAAGTGGATTACATTTTCAAATAAGGAGCCACTATCTCTGGTTCTTCCATAAAAGCACATATTTGCATAGGGAAATCAATGGCATAATTGTTGTTGCTAAACTGAGCCAAAAATAGTGGTTTCTTATTGCTAAATGTAATCCAAGTGAGGTAAATTAATGAACTACCGCGTTTCTTCTAAAAGATGTTTTACAGAGGTGGCGGCTGTCACTCATGATAATGAATTGTTTAACAGGCTAATAACTGGAAACTCTGAAGCAAAGTTTGAGGTAATTTGGTGCTTACCATTTTGATTTTCTCAATCAGCCTCTGTTTATCGTTTTCAAGAGTCGTGATTACAAGTTCTAGTTTTGAGTAGGATTCGTGGACATCAGTTCGTTCTAACAAAACTCGCTCCAGTTCTAATTCTACTTCACCTGTAGGGAAGAGGAATGGTTGTAGTAAAAAAGCACTCAGAATTTATCAAAGACTAAAATAGTAACCAACAATTTATAGATCTAGGTACCTACATCTGGTTGCTGCTATTACCGCATACAGTGTAAGAATTAAGATCACTGAAAAAACTGCAATCTTGCTTTTAAGTTGCTTTTGCATATACTTCTGAAAATCTTAAAATCAGTCTAAAGCATCCATACTAGACTATACGCTTCTACTGCTTCTCTATAACTAGAGGTTTTTAATGGTAAGTTATATTAATGGAAAGAGATCTCTAGTTTTAACAGGCTGCTGATTTAAAATTGTTTCCAAACCTTTCTCTTCCTGAAGTCACAGGGAAACTAGATAGAAGCTATCACCAAAAAAAAAAAAACGAACCTTTGCTTTTTTCTGCTTGTGCAAATAATGTTTCTGCTTCTGCTTTATGTTGTTCTAATAATTCAGAAGACAACTGTAATTTACTAAGTTCCTCTCGAGCCATTATGAGTTCTTCTCGCGCCTGACTTCCCCTTTCTTCTTCTTGTCTTAAACTCAATTCTCTGAAAATATAAAAGAGATATCACTTTTCTTTAAATCGAAATAGTACTGTATTCTAATTTTTTCTCCATCTTTTCATCACAGATTTTGATCAAATAGAAATATAAAAAATCTTATTTTTTTTTATTGATTTTTATGTAAATTACACAAAGTTGAAAACACTTGATCCCTTGATTCTTGATCCCTTAATCAATATATCTCAGACAATATTTATGATTGATATAAACTTTGAAGGATTCCACTACATTCCACCTTTTATTCAAGTCTGGATGGGTTGTCAGATTGTGAGATAAATGTGAATATTTTACATGAATTTGAATTGGGAAAAGTTCTGAAAAAGTAACTTATCTGGCAACTGTAGAGTCTGGGAGGAACAACAAGCTGCCTTCCTGAGAAAACCTATGATTTAGCCGGAAACGTCATTAAAACAAATTCGTTCCGTTTAAAGCATCAAATGTATTCTAGGGAAAGCTATTCTAAAATAATAATTGTGAATGGACACAGATTCTGTAAGGAAAAAATGAAAGGAAGAGGAAATAAAATGGGGATATAGTTACTTATGCAATCAGAGAGTATAATAATACAATAAGTCTTACATAATGATCCAAGGAAAGGAATTTTCAAACTAGTCTTCTGCAAATGAATAGGGGTTTGATTGAGAGTGTTTATCATAGTTAACAAACCTGTGAGCCAATTCTTTTGTTAGACGATCCACTTCAGTTTGTAGATAATTTTTTTCATCCTCTAAACTATCAGTTACTTTTTGGAGCCTAGAATTTGCTTTTTGTACTTTCTCGTAGTCAGCATTCAATGCTTCTAACTAGAAAATGATGATGATAATAATAATAAGTAATAAGATAGTAATTATAAGTACCTTTATAGTACCTTTGGTAGTTAACATCCAAGCTGCCTATGCAGAGAAGATAAATAAATACATGCCACTGGCTGATGAGATTAAATGTCTGTGGAAGTTGAATAAGGTAATAATTGTGCCTATTGTTATTGGAGCCGCAGGAGAAGTTCCTAAAAAGCTGTTCAATAACCTGCAAAAGCTCAGTCCTAGGAAGGAGCTGTATCAACAACTGCAAAAGGCAGCATTGTTAGGAAGCTGCAGAATTGTCCGCGGAGTCGTTAGTAATGACTTCCACCACTAGAATGACTATAAATCTTACAGCCATTTTAAACCAAAGATATTTAACGTTTGACTTTTTACATTTTAATAAATTCATTTTAGAATTGTTGAGATTTCTGAATTTTTAGCTTTCGAACAATTTTTTAAATTTTTAGTTTTTTAATGAGTTGGTTGTAGGGAGACTCAAGTTTGACTCTCCTTTGAAACGGCAGGAGAAGTCGGGAGAGCCGGCCTCGGGCTGTGGACGTTAACAGAGTAATAATAACAATAATAATAATACAAAAAAACTTGTAAAAACATTAATCGACATTTTACACATCATAATGGATTGTCACTAGGAGAAGATCTTGTTTCTTTTTTCTAAAAATTAGGGAGTATTTGTAAAATCTTCACACTAGACATCATACTTTAATTTTGAATGAGAAAGTCTTGGATCAATTTAGAAGAGAAATTAAGAGATTATTTGTATGTGTCCCTCAGATGGACCGAGTTTAACAAGAATACACCAGGTCGCACCAAGAAAGAGAGGTTTGAAGCGTCAGTGAGACTCAATATTAATGACGAAATTTAACAACTATTTTTCCATTCACAATATCTGTTCTCAACTATGAAGTTTTGACAGGAAACAAACCGATTAAATTTAAAACCATGTAGTCCCAACTCATTTTTCCCTAAAATGCTATTTCAAGCGCTTCTATTTGACTCAGTCCAAATACTTTCGCATATTGAAATTTTCAGTTTTAAATTAGCACTAATTATATGACAGTAAAAGCAAGAAAATATATACCTTGATTACAATGTTTGCTTTTTGCTCCTGCTTCACTTTTATAAGCAAGTTGTACAAGGCACTCTTGTATGAAATTTTCCGAGAGTATTCTTGAGTGAGAAAAAAAATTCATGCAAGTCTATGACATCACAATCAAGATACACTCTTCTGTAGTTTCACCATTAATATGCAACTTGCGCGTATACCTAATGACTTTACTGTAATTTGGGATATTATGATGCTTATATTGACTGGCAAAGTTGAAATTCATCAAAGGTTCCTTAAAAACTGTAGATATGTAACAAAGCGAAAGAAAGCTACCATTGCATTTAATTCCATCCTATTCTTATCCAGGGCGGTTTTCTCCGTCCGGGCGGAATCAAGTGATTTGCATAGCATCTCTTTCTCATGGTTCAATTGGGCATTATTAGCCCGAGCTTGATCAAGTCTTGTTGTGAGTTCAGAAATCCGGTTCTTCAATTGCTGAGTTGCTTCTTCACTGCTTTCTGCGGCTCGTTTGGTTGACGATAACTGTTCTTGTTGACTATCCAATTTCACCTGGAAATTATTTAAGCTTGCTATGAATATTGTTAACATAGTCAAACACCGAAGTAGAGATTCCTAAAATTTAGTTGCCTTCAAGGTGGACTGTAAGCCTTGATTCCAACTCAGCATTTGTCATGCACTCTTGTTAAGATAATGATGATTGAGGCATCTAATATTCCGAATTTTCTGACGGGACTGAAGGAAAAATGTATGCGCCTGATCAATGGCTTTCGTGATGGGAGAAAAGTTTTTGGCCTAAAGAATGATGTACTTAAGGTATTCTATTGGAATTAAAGAAAAGCTTTCTTGTTTCGCAGAAAAAATTGAGAAAAAACACTCAATACTACAGTGAGTACTAAGTTGAGTTTTCCATGGACCCTATTAATTTATAGGAGAAAAAGTTTTGATGTTGACAAGATTGTCAGCCTCTAGTGGTGTAGGGGTTATAGCACTCTTTCCATGATCAGGAGATCTCAGGTTCAATTCCTGAATTTAATGGTCTCAAACAATGATTGCCAGAGAATAGTTGCATGGTAGGGACTAAAGGCAGATATGGCTCTAACTGAAAAAGCGGACAACTATCTCCTGTGGAATGCCTGAGTTAGCTAAGAATAAGAAAATATATCTCGTAAGATCTACCATTCAGCAATTTTTTTCTGATCTCGGATACGACTGATTCTATTCAAACAGTGGGACAAGTAAAGATAAGTAAAATATCATAGACACAAATTGAGAGAAAGTTAAATTTACTTTAAGTTCGTGAAGTTGAAGCTGGTATTTGTGGAGAAGTGCTTGCACAGCAGAAATTGTGCTTTCAGCAAAAGCAGGCGAATTTGGCGTTCGTACGGCTCCCACTCCCCTCTTAGGCGACCTAAAAGAATGAACACAAAATAAACAAAAACTTTTTTTAGACTATATTGCTAATCGGTTAGTTGCATTGATTACAGATTCGTATTTTCGTGGTCGCAAATGATTGGGTAGGAAAAAATATTAAAATCTGTCTGAACACCAAGTTTTTACATTCAATAATAATGAAAATATTGTCCTTCGAAAAATACGATGGATGACATTATCCACCGCAGAGGTGCATACAATGGTTTCTTCCACTTTGCTGTCATCCATCAGTGATGCACTTGTTTGCATTGATCATTTCTTCTGCTTTACTGGTAAAAACAAAGTGTAAGAAACCAAGATATGCACTTCAACGATTACTAAATTTTACAATATTATAATACTGCACATATAGCACAATACTGTGCGTACAGCACAAATACTAAAATTTCAGATAGAGTGTACGAACCGTTTTTGAGGTATGGAGGGGTGAAGTCCCCGATTTTCACTCATTCCTGCAGGTCTAATTCTATCTACTTTAATATCGAGTTCCAAATTCCGACTGTGACATGCTATCGTATTTAGATACCTATCAAAGCCCGGTTTGCGGTGATTCCCAAGTAGCAATGATCGCTATAAATAGCGATTTTATCGGTTGACTATCGCGATTTTATCGGTGGCAATTTATCGCAATATCATCGAATAAAAAATTGCGATTTAAGGCGATTAAATCGCTATGCGTATCGCTATGCGTATCGCTATGCGTATCGCTATGCGTATCGCTATGCGTATCGCTATGCGTATCGCTATGCGTATCGCTATGCGTATCGCTATGCGTATCGCTATGCGTATCGCTATGCGTATCGCTATGCGTATCGCTATGCGTATCGCTATGCGTATCGCTATGCGTATCGCTATGCGTATCGCTATGCGTATCGCTATGCGTAATAAAATCGCGGTCAATTTTCGTCGATAAAATTGAGATTAAATTGCCATATGTCGCGATTTTTGTTGCGATAATATCGCTTTAAATTGCCAAGCGATAAAATCGAGATTTTATCGCAAAAAGATCGAGGATAATTGCTCAGATGTTGAAAATGCTACTTGGGTTATTTCAGTTATTTCTAGTGTATTCCTCTTTATCTTTTACAAACCTTCACCTGGCTTTTCCAAGGGGGACGGGAGGCTCTGTATAAGTAGGGTGTGTCATCGGTCAACTAGAGAACGGTTACAGATATTGACTTACAGTTTGGACCGAACTTCCTAGAAAAAAAGGAGGTATATTTTTGGTGAAGGCTGTCATCTTAAAAACAGCGAACTATTTTTGCATACTAGTGTCAAATTCGTTGCGTTCGAGAAAATATACGCCAGATTTCATACAAATCGGCCGGTCAGCAACCAAGATATCAATTTTCCACCATATGATATTGAACCGGGCAACGTATTAAAATCGGTGATGGATGGCAACCTGCCATCAACGCGAGAAAGTGTCTTTTTTATATTCTTTCTAACACGGTGTCAAGGGGTTCCCATTCAAAATTCTAAAATTCCCCCAGCCCCCCACCCCTCAGGGGCAGGAGGGGGGGAGGTTCATGATCCCTTACCAAAAATGTATCTACTTTTATTCAAGGAAGTTCAGTTCAAACTGATGCACTGTGGACCAGAGGTGCCGGTTGCACGAGAATAATTGATATCTCGGCTAAATCCGGACGAAAATCATTCAGTTTTGGTTTTTCGGGGGTTTTTTGGGTCGCTGAACTCGAATTTGATATCAGATTTGTTCAAAAAGTACAAGAAAAGTATGTAATGAGAATTTTAGCTCGTCCAGTGACGATTCCTCTTTTCGAACAATTGCACTGGGATTAGAAACCATTTTAACGCTGGAGAAACTTTCAAAAACAAAATTGAGAACTTGAAAGTGACCTAGATGACCGTATATACCGTATGGGGGACTGTACTGTTACAGGTTTAGCAATCCTGCGGACTCCAGCTGGTAGCCCCTGCCTCAAAGGGGGTGGGAAGACATGGCTCTTTAGCTGTGGTGAAAGCAACCTGTCTAGGAGAGGCAACTCCGAAATCGAACACTGGCCCTCCAGGTTGGGGGTTGGGGCATCGGGCTGACTCCCCGATCCTCGGAAAAATATACAATGTCAAAAAACCTAACCAAACAGCCTCGGTAACCATGGAAAAAGCGGACTCTTCGACTCAAACTAAGGAAAAGGGCACTGAGTTTTGGAATGTCCGAGGGATATCGACGGATTGACGATCAGTAAAATTTATGGTAAGATATTGAAAGCTAAAATCGAAGAAGAATGGATTCATCATGAGGCAGAGGAGCAAGCGGGTTTCAGGGCTGGCAGATCAACCGTCGACCATCTATTCTGCATCACCCTGATTATTGAGAAGAAGATGGCGGTTGGTCAAGAATTGCACTTTGGTGTTCGTGGATTTGCAAAAAGCCTATGATAGCGTGCCTTTAGTGAAACTGTGGGAGGCCTTGGAAAAATCTGATTTTACTCCAAGGACTAATTAATGCAATTAAGCTTTTTTATCAAGGGACTTTCGCAAGAATTAAATGCCAAGGCGCCTTGTTGAAGGGTTTTTATGTAACAAAGGGGCTATAAAGCAAGGGTGTTGCCTCTCCCCCACCTTGTTTAAAATATACTTGGAACATGTACTGCGTGAATGGAAGAAAAAATGTTCCGGAATGGGTGTCCCTCTGAATGATGAAGAAACTCTTTACACGTTATGCTTTGCTGATGACCAAGTAATTATCGCCCAAGATCAGGATGATGCTGAGTACATGACTCGAAAGTTGGAGGCTAAGTATCGGAAATGGGGCCTCGAGATGAATGTCAGCAAAACCGCGAAGTTGACCATTGGCGGGAATCAGCAAAGTATAGAATTAGAAGATGGGCAGCAAATTGGAAGCTGCGATATTTACAAATATTTAGGAGTGTTTCTAACCCAGGATGGAAGATTGGACCAGGCCATCAAGAAGAGGAATATGCAGGGTAGGAGGGCAATCGCTATGTTAAATGGAGTCCTTTGGGACCAAAGGATCTCCAAAGAGAACAAAAGAAGGATCTACGACGCGATTGTCAAGAGCATAGTAACTTACGGGTGTGAAGTAAGGCCTATGAAACAGCGGACCCGGGAGGTTTTAGAGGCAACAGAGATGGACTCCTGGCGTAGATCCGCTGGTGTTTCCAGAAAGGATCGCGTCAGGAATGAGACGGTACGGGAGATCATGGATGCCAAGCAGACCATCGTGCATGACATTATGACAAAACAACTCATTTAGAATGGTCAGTCCAGAGAATGGCAGAAGACACGTTGCCGAAGAAGGTCCTTGATTGGGTTCCGCCTGGGAGAAGACGCAGAGGGCGCCCAATGAAAGGTTGGAGGGAGGGGATTGAGGCGGAAATGTCAAGGTGCTCAATGCCCCAAGATTTGTGGTTTGAAAGAGAGCAGTGGAGGTTAGGAGTCGTCGAGCGCGAGGGAGTGCTGTAAAGCGACTTATACAGGGTGATCCAAAAGTCCCTTCCACCCCCTCTAACTTTTTACCTAATTGAGGTAAAAGTTTTCTTTTTTTATGCTCTTTCGAACGAGCTATCACAAAGGGGTCTTCCTATTTGAAAATTAAAAGATGGGGGCCGTTGCCCCCCCAAGGGGGGCCCCCTGAAAATTTTAGGGGGCCAAAAAGTAGCTCCTTTTGACCTAGGAACATCCCCCAAGTTTCAAATCTTTACCTCAATTAGGTAAAAAGTTAGAGGGGGTGGAAGGGACTTTTGGATCACCCTGTATGTATGTATCTGAAGTAGCAGAAAGAACTTTTTTTATAGATCACTACAGTTTATCAGAAATTATTTTTACTTTTTTCCATCCCTCAGAAAAAATTAAAAGGCTGCGTTACGGGTGTGACCGATTTCGGAAGTGAGTTTTGCCTCAGTGAGTGTAAAGTGGAAACTCAGCGAATTTTATGAATGTACAAATCTTATTAAATTATATAATGAAGGCAAGGGTTTTTGCTTCAACTGCAGATGACCTGTTTTCAATTATCTTTTTTCTTTCCTTGAAAAATGGGAAAGTTTGCGTTAGGGGTGTGACAAATTGCCTCTCTGAGGTCCATCATTTCTGAGACAGTTTAAAAGTAGAAACAATTACTTTTCTTCTAATACTCTTATTGTATGTAATCCTAAGCAGTACGTCAATCAGAAATTTGACGCATTTTAATGTAGAACATGCCAAAACTACATTTTTCTACAGGGTGGCCCAGACCTACCGTCCCAGGGCTTTTCTTCGGGTAACCCAGGTCGCACGAAGTCCAGGACCGCAGAATTGAATAGGGAATCGACCCTAAGGAATCAGAACTTCCCGGTCCCAGACTCCCTCCGGCTCCCCTAGGGGGGCACGTACTTCAAAAGTCAAGGTTTAAGTCAACATTTGAAGTTATTTAATTGGAACCAGGGAGCGCAGAAATTTCCAACCTAAATCAACACCAAGAAATCCAAAATCGGCCCATCCGTGCCCAAAATACTGACCCCCGAAAATATGTAAGAGAATAAGTATATTACCATTTCAAAAAATGCAAGTTCGCGAAATTGACTTAGATAATCGGAAAAAAGAAGTTTTTATGGGCAACAGACCCCCAAAGAATCCGAAATTGAGGATTTTGATCCGTTTTCCAGATAGTCTTCTCTGATGTCGCTCAGGCGGACCCTGAATTTGTAAATTTAATCAGTGGGGGGGACCCCTTAAATTCGGATTCCTTGGAGTCCAATACCCAAAAAAACCTCCTCTTTCCCGAGTTTCCACGTCCATTTCGCGAACTTTCATTTTATGAAAAGGGGCTCCGTCCCCAATCCCCAGGGAGTCAGTATTCAGGACACGGATGGGACAACCTTGGACTTCTTGGTGTCGATTTAAGTAGAAAAGCTCTGCGCACTTTCTGATTCCAATTAAATAATTACACAATTCTGACACAAACCTTGACTCTTGAAGTACAGACACCGCCCCCTATACCTTCCAAAGGGAGTCGAGGGGACTCTGGGACCAAGAAATTCAGATTCCTTAGAGGCGATTCCCCATTCGTCCCCGCGGTCCTGGACCTCGCAAGACCCAAATTAACCCCAAAAAAAACCCCTGGTGCGGTAGGTAGGTATGAGCCTATAGTAAAGTGATAATATTTCAATCAAATCGGAGAAAGTTCAACCAGTTCTGTTTGAAGTCCTTTTGAGATAAGGTGTATTCACTTTAAATACTGAAATATGGCAAACATTTTGGCTATCTCTCTCTTATCAGATGTATACATAACCTCTGATTATGCATATGAGTGTATTTTTTGTGATAACCATAGAAAAAATGGTGAGAAGTGAGGCAACATCTGCATAATTGAAGCCTCTTCTCATTGGTCACACCTGTAACGTGTCACACCTGTAACGCATTTTTACCCATCAATTGCTGAAATAAAAATTTGGAAAAACTACTCCGAAGCTGTACTTGACTTGAAGACGAATGGAAAAAATTGGCATCTCAAAATGACATGAATTAAAATAGTTACGTTATAAAACCCATGTTTTGCGTTACGGGTGTGACAGTCAGTACACTAAGTTTTAAAAGTTACATATAATGTACAGTCTTTCTTTTGAATTGAATTGAATTAATTGAATTATTGAATTAATTTATTGAATTAATTGAATTAATTGAAACTTTGCAGGAGCACATTGAATCAGTTTCTGGACAACTGCAAACATAACCTGAAACTCGGTTTTGGCGGGAACACCAGAAAACATTGCTACCAAACTGTCACTCTTTTTACAGTAGGATGAAGTTAAGTGACGGGGTTACAAAACACGTAGAAATTGCGAGAAAAAAAACAGAACGGAGGTAAAACCTCATGTCTCCAAAAACTAGGAGTATTAAGGAGTCCAAAAATAAATATCGTTGGGTCATTTGAAGGGGGGGAAAAAACCCCCGGACTACCTAGGCGTAGAATGACCCATATCATTGAAAACTAAAGTAGTGTTGGTATTTTTTTTACCCTCAAACTGTTTTCGCATGAACTAAACAATTTCAGTTTTCATTTAAAGGCGCATTTTGTCCTGCTGCGTCACATGTAATATCCGTAAGGTATAGTATTAATAATTCCACTTACGGAAAAGAAGAAAAATATGAAAGACAGAATGACAGACAGATTTATAACGTAGTCTCATCTGAGAACCTTTTTTGCACTTATTAAATACGAAAAAATGTGGCAACCATGTTAAAATTGCGCACCCTCAGAAGCGCAGCAACTCAATTTAATAATACTATTACTATTCACTGGGAAAAATTTATTTACTGTACGATATCTAAGGTCATATATGTGAAACATGAACTTAATCCTACCTATTTTATTGATGAGTCGACTTTTTTTTTTAAGAAAATTACAAAAATGGGTTTCTCGCAGTTTCCCGCAGCAAAGCTGTGGTGCAAATGAATGTTGAGGATTTAAAGAAAAAGTATCTGGCCTGAAAACTCTAAAGAAACTTAAAGAAAAAACTGCAGAAAGCTTTTCCGATGGAATTTTAAAGATTTATCAGGCACATTTTCTAACAAGCTTTTTGGACAGTGAAAAGTACGCAATGGAAAAAGTGTATACATCAAATGAAAGCTCTTTCTTAGAAGAAGAAGTCCTAGTGAACACATTTTCATCCTGCGCAACCGCTGAGCCGTGATAAGGCCTTACACGGTTGCAGTTCAGGACGCGCTTTTATATATTATCCGTGTAGTGTGAGAGGTACCCAAGTTCCCCCCTCCAATACATCGCTGCTGGGCGATTATTCGATGAAATTTTGATGAATCCTCATCCCTTAGAGAGGCACTTTAACAAATTCCTCATCATCAATACAGTACTGGACACTCTTAAAGACGGTATTTTTCGCGTAAAACGGGCCTCCCTGGCCCACAGTGCACAGACCCCAAGTTCGAGGGCTCAAAAGCGGGCGGATACGTGCATGACCCTTTTTATGCAAGGCTTCTTTGAGGTCCAGGCCTGGGTTCCAGGCAAAGACATTGAATCACGTAGACCGTGCGTCCAGCTCGGTTTAGTCTCTTGGAGTATTTAGTCCTCAGTCTCTTGGAGCCCCATGATGGGCGGGCGGCCGGAAGAGGAGAGAGCGTGTGTCATCCCAAGCACTCGAAGAGACTGCAGAGAGGCAATGGAGAATTCATTCGCGCGCTCGGTTTTTCACTAATATCTCGCTTAGAGTCCATTTTCAAACAAAATTCCCAAAAAGAAAAGTTTTAGAACATATAATTTTACAACCGAATAGCAATGTTTCATTTTTCCGAACTAATTATTAACCGATAAAAGCAGCCTCACAATCTGACAAAAATTCACTGGAGCCGCTACTGCGCATTCGCAGATGTGCGCAATTGAGACACAAGAACTCATCAATGAGGGTCGGTGCCACCACTCATCGGCATGCGAATTTTTAAAAGTTGTCTCGCCTTCCATAACACAGGATGCACGGTCTACGTGATTCAAGGTCTTTGGTTCCAGGCAGATAAAAAGTTCATATCAAATGGACCACATTTTGCAATAAGGAACCACTATTTCTGGCTCATTTTAGAAACAACACATATGCCATGGGTTTCCCTACACAGAAAGGTGCTTTTATGGAAGATCCAGAAATAGTGGTTCCTTATTGCAAAATGTAATCAAAATAATCTTTTAGGCAGGATGGAAGTAACAGTTAAAGGGGACGGCAACCCTAGAATCGAAAATGAGATAGTATCAAAAATTGAAGTGAGACCCACTCAGGATGATATCTTAAAGATATGTTGTTATTTGTTGACATATGTTGATGTAATGTTACTAATATGGATGGAATGTTAAATCAGTATTGTCAGGATAAGACTGACAATATCAACATTGATGTAAGCTTGATAGACCCTCAACCAAGGAGATGTCAAGAAGTGTCAACCTGATAACAATGTTGACGGGGGCATATCAATATTATGTAAGATTATTGTAATGTTACTTCAACCTTACTATCAATGTTGTTGCAATGTTCAGGCAAGTCCCTGGCAGTAGCACATCAACATTGATGCAATCTTACTAAGATGAATATAATATGGCTGCAATGTTGATGTGTAAGATGTGCAATATTATACTAAGATTGTATTGCGGTTCTATGCTGAGTGGAGAAGGTATAAGAAGCAAAATGGCTATGTCCCGAATGACAAATTCGCAAAATCGGCAGAGATATGAAAGATTGTAAGTCTGAAAGGTGATGTCATGCGCTCCTGGTGCGACTGCGGTTCACACGCACACAACTCGAAGTCGGGCGCGTTTGCTGTCTGGCGCCGCGAGGTCGCCTTAATATATTAAGGCGAAAATCACTTGGTACGCCAATATCAAGATAAAAATGGTGGACACTCTTGAACAGTTGCAACCTTTCCTGATCAGACTGATTCCAGGAACTTTTGTTGGTGCTGACATGGGCTGCGCATGCGCAGTAGACTTTTTGAGTAATCTGCGCCGCGAAATGCAGCGCTAACTAGCAGGCGCTCCTGTGGGGCTGTGCCGCCTTTTTTAGTACAATGTGTTTTGGACTACGTTGAATTCTACGTCCCGGGAACGTAGACAGCGAAACGGCGAAAGTGTGATTTTCACTTTTTAGGTTAGGTTTACAGAGCAACGTTCCTTTCCACGTTCCTGTTACGTCGCCAGTGAGACGTCTTCGGAGCACCCCTGTTCTTCCATGTTGATTACTACGTCGTACAAATTGTAAACGTTCCCAGAATGTTTCAAGGTCTACGTTGATTTCGACGTTGCTGAAACGTTCGATGTTATCTGGGTAGTCTCACCTAAGCAAAGAAAATAGAGTCGGCCAGGAACGAGCGAGATCGGGGCGAACTTATAATTTGTCGCGAAGACGCGTCGGCCACTTGACACCGGTGACAGAATGCAGAGTGCAAACTGCGAAGTGCGAGACGGAGCTCATGAAGTTACGTGCTCAGCTGTTTTTTCGCGATATCGGCTCAACGAATGCAGATATTCGCAAACGGATTTCGGCATCGTTCGTTGCATACTTTTCTTCGTCGGTTTCGCCAACATTGATTTTAAGGTTGCCGTCCCCTTTCATAATTTTACAAACCGGGGAGGGATGGCAGGACCAGGCGACAAATGGAAATGGGATGCCTCTGTGGCGTTTTCAGCATCCTGAATGACTGTGTGAGCGATGTCTCTGAGTGCACCATGCAAAACACCAACCTCTTCTTGTAGTTTTGTCACTAGTCGAGCATTGACTTCATTTTCAGAGCACCGCTCCTCCTGAAATAAAAAAAAAAAAAACCAAGCAGTGAACTCCAACACAATGTGTTGATAAGGCGCGTCATTAACTCGCACATATCAACCCCTTTAGTTTTCATTTACAGAGATTTCAAAATAGGCAAGTAGCACAACAAGAGAATTCATACTAGAGTCCCTTTATACCCAGAGTTAAGACAACTCGATTATCAGCTGACTGGCAGCCGGCCTTGTCTGGCCATGGAGGCCGAAACGAGTGCACCCAAACGAACGATATTGAGGGATAAGGATCAGGAATCCTGCGATGTCTGTCACACAAAAACAACAACATCAACAAATTGATCAATTAAAAAGAAAATGAGATTGGTTTGTGAATAATTTCTTAATCTATTTTCATTTTGGACCGATGGAAATAACAATTTACTCTTGATAAACCACAATTAGGTAATATTTTCATTATTCTTGTTCACATTCGAGGTACCGCCATCTTGGTGCACTCGTTTCGGCCTCCATGAGCGAGAACCAATCAGAATTGGATTTTTTTTTAGGCCACTTTCAGCCCAACCAAAAGTGAGTTGTCTTAACTCTGGGTATAAATCTAATTCATACGATCCAACACTGCGAGGTCAACGACGCACTTTGACGAGACCGTGTATTGTGAATGTAGAAAGCCATTCGAACGAGTTTAAGTTTTTTGATCTGCCCCAAGCATTATCGGATCAGATTCTTATAGAAAAGTGCTGCGTAATAATTTAAGCGAAGAAAGGAAAAATTCTGTCGAATTCCTGAAAGAGAAAGTCGATTTTAGGGTATTTTGGGGCTAAAATACCCAAATCACCAGTATTGTTAATCCCGTTATATTATTGAAAAGAAATTGACTCGATACAAATGCAATTGCATTAAGTATGTCTTGATTTTGTCATTTTAAACGTATTTTCATGCAAAGAAGTTCAACCATGTCCATGCTTTATTCATTCATGAATTGAAAGTAAGCAATCTACATCCCGAAGTCTACCGATTTGCCGTAAAAAATTTCAGAAACTTGATATACCAGGTCGATGCACCCACTCGTTGGATTTACCAACCAATTTCGTGAGTGTAAATATGTAAAAATCAATATGCTAAAGTCATTTTGGGTGAATTTATTTTTCATGAAACAATATAATAATTTCAATCCCGAAAAACCATCAATTTTCCGTATAAAATCGAAAAAATCGAAATGTGTCGACTCCGCCTGACGTGAAAATTAGATTCTACGTGTAAAAATACTTACGTATCGATATGCTGAACAGAAACTATGTGTGAACACAGTTAGCAGTCCGCGGCATTATCCATTCAACAGAATAACGGCAAAAATTAGATCGGATTTTAGCCGCTTTGCCCGCCTCTCCTCGTTATTTACAATCCGTTCCTAAGCTCATCTCAAAATTTTTCTCAGAGCTTTGTGTTATTATCAGCCTCCATTTAAATCCCGATTCGATGACCGAATCGGCAGCCCAAAAAGCAAGCCATTTTTGAAAGGTTCTATGAGAAATTCGTGATATTATCGGCTCTCAGGAAATCACCCCATGGCTAAAATTGGTGGTAGGTATAATTGTTTGAGTGCTTAAAATAATCTTATTCAAGAAACTAAGGCATTAAACTATGGAGTCAATTTCTTTTTAATAATATAACGGGATTTACTACACCCGTGATTTAGCTATTATAGCCCCAGAATACTTTTAAAGCGCCTTTACTTTTCAGAACCTTGACGGAGCTTTTTTTTTGGCTTAAACGACTCAAGAGACACTGTAAATAAAAAATAAGAATAAAGAATTTTCGATTTTAACAGAAAAAAAAAAAAAAAAAATGTTCGTTCAGGCACACCGTGTATTGTATGGAGTACTGCTGCCATTCAACGTTTGTCTTCAGGTCAAAATTTTTACAAGGAAGTCCCTTGCAAGAGGTGAATTTTTTGTAATTTCTTTCCCAATTTTTTCTCTGTCATAGAATTGAATTGCTTGTCAAATTCTGAGGTCAATTATAATTGTAATTTATACATTTCTTTTGTTCCCTTCATTTTATTTTTTGTATGGAGAAGTTTCGTTGATTTCTTCGGATTTCGAATACTGTGACTTCTCTTCTATTCGGCCGTTTGCTGGCCTGCTCAGCAATCCTCGAATCAGTTCGTTTGCTTCTGCTTATATATGCATATTTTAAATTAGCGCGGAGCATTCTTAGGTTTTTTTTTTTTTTAAAAAAAAACCAAGTAACGTAGACTCTTGGTATTCATTGTAGGTACATAAACTAGAAAGCCCCAGAATGAGAAAAAACTTTGAAATCATAATTATTGACGGATTAGTAATTTTTTTACACACTTTGGAAAATCTCAGAAGTTCGCGGCAGTCACTTCCCGGTAAGGAACTAAGGGACTCGGTTATTGTATCGAGTGGGGGGTCGAAACGATCGCAAAGGAGGTATACTACGTATACGCGCCAATAAATAAACAAAAAACCCTCCACATTCATCTTTTCACTGTGTGATTCTCCATTTCCATGAAAATGTATCATCATGTTACTCTGCTTTTAATCATTTGCCTACACAATAAAACCCTGCACTTTTTTATTAAGATGTGCCGCTTTCAGGGCTCATTAGTGGTGCCTTCAGGAGTAATTCCGGAAGGGGCAACACTCTGAGACCTCTGAGACCCGCGACTGGAGCAAGATGATGGCCATTGAAGTCCGTCATTTTGGGTTTTTTTCAAAGCGCGGTACGTTGGATGCCATCGATCTGATTTTGAACACTTTTTTTTTCAATGATGGTACTTTCTTTAAGGATAAGTTTACTCCTTACTCATTTTCCTGTTGGGCTTATATTTTCTTTAAAATTGGGTAAAATCAAATTTTTTTAGAATAAGCCGTATGCAAAAACGACTTTTTTCGCCCCCCCCTTTACAACTTATTCAAACTTCGTCTATCAATTACTCATACTGGAGCGCTTCTTTCCTCAAATCATCAGACCGCCAAAAAATTTTGGGGGGCGCTAAGGGGGGTACAAGTCAAAGTCTGTGAACCTCGATATCTTCCGAACGAAAAAAGATATTGAGGCCCGGTTTAGACGAAAAATCGTCTAAAATTGCATACTTTAAGATTCTAGAGGTCAAAACCTCAAAATTAGGTACATGTTTCAGTTAACTAATGTGCCTTTTTTCAGTTTTTAAGGAAGAACAATTTCTTTTAAACAGTCTTAACTGAAAGATCGTATTTTTGTATTTGAACCAAAACCAGTTTCTCGAGTTTTGTTGTTTGTCTATTTCCGCATCCAACGAGTGGTCACACAAGCTGGGGAACCGAACGGTTCCGGAGTTATGAGCGATTGAAGTTTCCACTCCACGCGCGCCGACCGATTTTCGAGCGCCAAAATATGGTTCCAAAGCCGGATTTGGGTGTAAGTGAATCAGATTTTATGTCCAAACCGTGCAAAATACATTTTTACGTATTCTTGAGGGTCGTTGAGTTCAAAAATTACAGATACTTCCAAAAATTCACTTTTTTCCCATAGCGTTGCTTGAGAGGCCCACTGAGCGGCCGGTCGGTCGGCACAATTGCGATGTAAGGCGAGTACATCGCTATGCATCGCAATTTTTTGTTCAATAAAATCACGATCAATTTTAGTCGATAAAATCGAGACTAAATCGCCATATATCGCGATTTTTATTGTGATAATATTACGATAAATTGCCGGGCGATGAAATCGCGATTTTATTGCAACAAAATCGAAGATAATCGCTCAGATGTTGATGATCCTAGCGATTTCCTCGCCGACAAAATCGCATCTAATAGCGATTTTTCCGTTGAAAAATGCTACTTGGATTATAGGATACGCCTCTTCCCAAAATTTCAAGGACTGAAATGAATTTCTTTCCGCGTAGCAGGGTTGCCAAGTTGAAAACCGTCGATTTCCATATCATTCGAACGAAAAAAGATATTGCGGTTCAAAAATTGCGGTCGTATGAAGTTTGCAATAAATTTGATCGTTTCGGTAATTTAAGAGTGCAATGATGCCATTTTTCACATTTTCTTAGGGGCCAATTTTTTTTTCAACCCTAGTACATCGTTAAATGCCAAATTCTCGATTCGAACAAAAAGCTGCTCATTTTATTTGTCGTACTTTTCTTTACATTTTGATATATCCCAGGGAAACGATTGGCATGCGAGATATGAGCTATCAAAGTTTACATTTGGTGCGCGCCGACTGGAATCCGAGCCCTCCGGGCACACACTCTCCCTTGCCACCGGCAAGCTTTACAATGTGATTCTTGTATATTGTTTGCGTACTTTCCATTTTTGGCCTTTTGAAAAGGCATCCTATCCGATGAATTTATAGAGGCCTTGCGGTCAATTGTCGCCATTTTTCACCCATTTGTAGGGTTTTTACAATTTTACTATAGTAAAACTCAAGTTAAACTGGAAATTATGCCTTTATATGGAAGAAACGTAAAAAAATGAATAAAAGTATTGGTGTACATTTTTCCTATGTTTCCAAATTTTTTAGAAAATCGTTCCAAAGAGCCAAAAACTGGATTAATCATCACGTCAAAGGTTTTAAGAAGTGAATGATGACTCTCATGTAAAAAATATGAATTTTAAGTTTCGCTTTAAAACAAATACATATGTAACATGGAAAATCACGATACGTCTCACTTTGGTGAATGTTATTCGACCTTCAGTCACACTCCTTATATATCCTCGTCATATGTATCACGATAAAAATTTCAATACGTTTCTTTTTCGTGATAATTAATCCAATTTTTCCCACTTTAGGACGATTTTTCTCCAGAATTTGGCTTACTTTTCTTTACATTTTGATATATTATACTTCCCAGGGAAACGATTGGCATGCGAGATATGAGCTATCACAGTTTACATTTGGTGCGCGCCGACTGGAATCCGAGCCCTCGGGCACACACACTCCCTTGCCACCGGCAAGCTTTACAATGTGATTCTTGTATATTGTTTGCGTACTTTCCATTTCTGACCTTTTGA